AAACAAATGCGGTATTTTGGTGTTTCCTACTCCCTGAGTGATTATTTGTTTTTTACTTTTATCATGACTTAAATATTATGTGTAACCCTAAACAAAGACACCAGCTGTTGGATGTTCTATTGATGTGGGAGTTCTTGTATGCGCACTTGAATTTGTAATCTTGTAGCACTTTACCTCATATCTTTGTTTAATTTTTGTTTTCTTAGCGTTTCCCACACCGCATTTTTTGCGTATTTCACATAGCAAATGTCCCAAACGTCGAAACGGAAAAGACTTATTGTAACACTTCATTTAGCCATCTCTAACGGGGTTTGTTACTAATGTATGGCGTACCATATCGTCTCCAAACTTCATTGATGGAAGCGCAAAAGGATTCTTATTAAAAAAAAGACGATAATCGATCTAAATATCGCTAAGAAACATTTAAAGAGTATGGGATACGTGGTCTCTCTTTCTTGTTTGTTGATAGGTTATTCCACTCTTTTGGAATTTTAACCTACGGGATCACAACATGACAACAATACTCAACAGCGACGGTGAGCAAGCGATTTGGGGTATCGCACTTGTATGTGTCTTCTAGAGAAGATACCGCTAAAATCCGGCAATACACACTAGGGCGACAACTTTCCCCCTAGAAAATTCCTTGGACAATCTCTCCAGGTTGCGGCAAATGCGGTCATATTGTAGTCATGACAACGAAAGTCCACTTCAAACTGAAGATACCGTTCTCGAGGACGAAAATAATCTTAGAGTGCTACAGTTGTTCATCTACAGGATTACCCTGAAGGTTCGACTAATGCAAGTAAAAACACACTCCCACAAGGCAAAATTCAAGCCGCTTCCAGGGGGAGTAGTTAAAAAAGGATTATGTTCGTTAACACACTTTAGTATGCCCCCCTGTTACCCCTCAGGATAGTATACCCAGGCTTCTCTATTATTCTTTCGCTTTTATGCACACAGCGAGTCTGAACATCTTGGAATAGGGGTCCTGATTTACCTCTTGGTATTTCTGTATAAATGGCAAATTGGCTTGCGGCGGTGTAATCTGCTTTCATGTGTGTCCAATATAAAGTGATAGTCTCTAAAGCGGCAAGCACACACATAAAAAAAAAAACTATTTGGTCCTCATTTCTCCATAGAAACACTGTGAACATCTGTAGAAGTCCATTTGCAGATATTTCCTTTCTTTGTTCTCGTCTTTTTCCATGAAGGAGGTTTCCATAGTACCTTTTTTACAGAAGAAATCTTCCTCCCCCTCCCCCCCTTATTTGTTAACATTGTCACTCACTATTCGTGAGGATATTAGGTAGCAAAGCGTTAAGTTGATGGCAGCGCCATGCCGTCAGTCTTCGGTGGTGAGTTTCTGTGGCGACCACGGGGAATTGGATGGCCGAAGCCCCCCAATCAGAGATCTGTCTAAGTCTTCTACAAGCACGTTGTCTACCCCCAAAGGCAAGGTCAAAATTCCTCACGAACATTCCAAAAGCTCATCCTGCACCCAGCAACCGTTAGATACCTTATCCCAACATCAACAACAACGCCATCCAGATGGAAAGACGTTGTCGGCATCGACCTCACTCGTCGCCCCGGCGATGTTGGCCAATCCCCTGAGTATGCAGGCCACGGTACTGCGGACCCCGGACTTCTTTGTGAATCCAATGCCCTCTGGGGATGACCTCGTGGAGGAGGGAGACATCTTATACGACGTCCTGAAGGATAGCCGATTCGAAACGGATGAACCCGACGACGTCGTCAGGGAGGATGCGCGGGTGAAAGCGACCCCCATGCAACCCCTGGGATGGCTATCGCCTATAGCAGGTATCGGTGTTCAGCCGGTTCTTACACTGCCGAATAAAGTCGGCAAATACCTCGCCAACGAGCATCTCAAAGCGCTTATTTGCTTTGTCAATGGGGCAGTTTATCCTCTCCATAACCTACGCCTTCGGATCGACGTGATTCTCCCGCCGGAGGCCCTTACCGGGGCGAGTGGATTTCCGCACTCCGCCCCTTCCCCGCCGCAGTCCGCGCGGCGGTCGCTCATTCACCAAACCTGTCCGGAGATGAAGGCGAAATCGACCAAGGACTACACTGTCGACGTCCTGCTTTCCACCGCGGGGACGTACGTGTTGGATGTCAACGTCCTGTACGTCGACCCCAGCGGGGAGGCGCGGAAGCTGAACTGGTCGAGCTCGTTCGGGGTGGAATCGGCCCTCACGGAGGTCTCGCGCCGGGTGCTGCGACGGCTCAAACTGCCCGACGGAAGGCCAAGGACGCCTCCTGTGGATTTCACCACCCCTGGCGCGCTTTTTTCCCGTCCCCCCACCCCCGCGGAGGCCTTGGGGAACCTTCGCCTGCCCTTGCATACCTACATCTTCAGCGTGGGCCTGCAAAACACCAGCGGCGTCCCCCTCACCCTGTGCAGGCTTCAGATGCTGGCGGCGACCACGACGGACGGGGAAGGCGCCCCGAGTCCGGTCAAACTACTCAACGCGGCCCCCTCCATCGAGGTGGGGGGGAAGGCGGGGGCGCGATCGACCGCCCCGTCAAGCGTCTTCCTGCAGCCCGGGGAACGGGTTCACTGCAGCTTTGAGTTCTTGATTTTGAACGAGGCGTTGTGTAATTTGCTAATCGTGCATAACGCCTCCACAGGGGTGTCCTCCCCGCTGTTGAAGCCGCCGCTGAATGGGCCACTGGGGGCTATTGAATGGGAGTGGCGTCGCTGGAATGGCGACGGCGGGACCGCGCGGTCGGCGCCGCTTTTTCTCGGACAACTACGGGGGCTGCCATTGATGGAATTGGTGGTGGTGCGCGTTAGGTCGCTCCCCTCAGATCCCCGAGGCGTCTGGGGGTATGGCGAGGAAGGAGCCCCGGGGTCCGAAGGGGCGTCATCGGACATTCACCGCGTTGAGCATTGTGCGCACCCAGACGAGGTCCCTCTTAAAGCGGGCCAACCCGTGGAGTTTGAATTATGTATAGTGCACTATGGAAACCACACCAGTTCTGATGGCGAGGCCCCGGTCGAGGTGGCGTTGAAGGTGCGTCCTGAGAAATTGGCGCCGTATTGGTTATACACGGGCGCTATACCGCGTTATATAGGCCATGTCGAGCCTAACCACACATGTACCTTCAAACTAAAACTCTTACCTTGGCATTCGGGTTGGGTGCCATTGCCTCGTGATGGTCTAGAAATTGTGGACGCGCACTCACCAGGACACGTCCTAGCACCACTACCACCGGTAGTTATAGAATCCGCCTCAACCGCGGTGGTATCATCCTCTAGGAGAGAAAGCGAAAAGCAGAGCAGTATCCTCACCAGCTCCTTGGTCAAACCCGGTCCGATCGGTTTAGCACAAAAGAAGATCCCAACAGCCTTGGTGGTGGGGAGAAATTTAAATCCCAAAGCCAGCGGAGAGGCTGCGGGGCTCTGCGTGGAGGAAGATCAGAACGACTCGGTATTGTGTGAAGTTCTAGTTTTATAGATGGAAAAGAGAACCTGTGCATGAACTGTTCAAAAAGTTGAGGGCATTCCCTTTCATGTGTTGTGATAAATTTCACCTATCTGTCAGGTGTGCAATAAAAAAAAAAGAACTTGGCATCCCTTTTGGTGTGTTAGACCTTTATTATAACCACACTTCACTCTTTGCTTGTTCGCTTCTCTCCATTGGTTATTAATCTAATGAGTGAAATATCCATCACGGCGAATTATATGAATCTAACCACGATATATAGATATATATATACCTAATACCACATAAACTGAAGTGATAACACTCAT